TCAGATATCCATTGCAAAAAAAGGAAGGCTTGCCATTGGCCATTTGTATTGATTTTCCAAACTCTACTCATAAAGTAAGGCAATTTCCCTCAACCTGGCACTCTCCAGATGGGGTGGATAACTACATGCTGGTGTGTGCTGGTGGGAATTGTAGTTCAGGACGTCTGCAGGGTACTGGGTAGTGGGAGGGTGAAATGGAGTCTAAAGAAGACGCCACTCATAGTTCATAGAAGGTCAGGCCATCACTAGCAATCATCTTAACTGGATAGAAAGGAAAGGGATGTACCACACATGAAAGATCCATGATGCGATAAAATACTTCAAATATGAGATGGTAAGCAACCCAGTTACTTCCATGACATTTTGGAGAAATATTAAAGATTTTATTTCCCAAACCAAGATGAACATATGCAACTTATTTGACCTGATATATCCTCCAACTACCTTTACTTGCTTTTATTTCAAGTATCTGCACTGTTTTGTAAAGAACATTTTATGAACTGAGACACAGAAGATGTGTCTCAGTTCATAAAATGGTTCCCTTGCAAAGCTAGGGAACCAAGTTTCAATTTGGATGCCAGGAAGTACTTCCTGACAGTTAGGACCACCAGGGTATGGAATGGGCTTCCACGGGAGGTCCTTGAGGCCCCATTGGTGAGGGTGTTCAAGAATAGGCTGCAAATACCCATGGTAGGCATGTCAGGAGCAGAGCTGGCTGGAGCCAGGGGTCAGACTAGATGCCCTAGGATGCCCTTTCTGACTCGCTCTGTTTTCTATGTTTCTAAGATTATAAATGAAAAAAAATGTTGGTTGAAGGTAAATGCAAATAAAATTAAATGAAAAATTATCAGTGAAAAGTTTCAGGTGATCTGTTTATATTATTATATAATTATATACCTCAGTTTCCAATCAGTGTTCTAAGAAAAGTTCTGTCTGAAAAATAAATGATTTATTGCAGGATAATTAACAAATATGCCAAAATTTGCTTAGATTAATGACAAAACTCCTAGCAATAAATAGCATCTAAACTCTAGGGAGTTTAAAAAAGCAATTAGTTAAAATGTGAATGAGGAACAACGGAAAAAGAGTCTAGTAAGCTTGAATATAAAAGTTATTAAGGAAAGCAAATACAGCCAATTTACTAGTTTCCAGTATTTGCTCTGCCAGGTGCTTTTTCTAGGACTTGTCTGTTTTCTTGTGCAGCTTCTACTCCCCAAGAACCATCTTGGGGAGTTCTCTGTGCCACCCTGCCTGTTTATATGAAGCGGTCATTACAGACTGCAGAATGTGCACACAGATGGAAAGTCCTCAAAAAGTTGCTGAGTGCAGTGGGGAAGAACTTCTGGAGCCTCAGAAGCAGACATACAAATAAAAAATGTCCAGATGCTTCCACAACTCTGATGGCCCATCTTGTCTAGGTAAATACCCTCAGTACCTCATTCTGTGGAAACAAGCAACAGCCATTAGTTAAACCTTTTTTATGGAGGGGGTCACTGCTGATCATAAAGCCACTAAATGGTTAATGGATCCAGGGAGTTGCGGGGCAGCTTCTGGTTTCATTTTGCCTGCTTTTGTTGTAAGAAACTGCCAGTTAATATTAAGTACAGGTCTTGTTTAAAACTCATGGCTGTCTTTGGTCTCAATGAAGAATCCAAGAGGGTGCTTACACCCCTGCTGATTCCCTTCTGCCTCATCAATACGTTTGGCAAGTTGTGACCCAGCCAGTGTGTGCAAGCAGGACCCACACTTACACAAGGGAGATTTAGTACTTCCTAGGTGAAGAGCAGAAATGCTTGTTTCTGGAGGGGGGTAGATTAGTGGAACCCCCATATATTGGGAGCTGATCTGCCTCCTTCCAGAAACTGCCCTGCCTCCTCCTCGCAGGTTGCCAGGGAGGCTCTAGATCACACGCAAGTGGTAGAGGCGGGACTGGCATTTGAGAGTCCATGGGGCCAGCAATTCCACTCTGCGTTCTGCCTTGTGTAGTACTTCCAAATCTCCAGACCACCATTTTTCCTTTCCTTCTTCCAGGGAGTTCAGACAGGTTGAGAGAGCATGACTTACTCAAAGCTATGCAGTAAACCTCAAAGCTTAACCAAGATTTGGAAGTGGGTTTCCCACGTGAGGTACTCCTTTAGGGTGGTGGCCAGGCAGAGGAGGAGGCTGGGCTTCTGCCCTATTAGCAGAAGAGGCTATTCCAGCAGATTTGGCCTGCATGATGAGTTACACCCTGCTGAAAATGTCTCATCTCAAGGGCTGCAGCTTGCCTCTATAAGTGGGGATTGTTGCCAAACATCTGTATTCAATTCTGATTGTATGGGTCATTACTTGTCTTGCTACATGTGGGAGCATCACAATTTAATTCAGGCCATTGCAGCTTGTTTTATTTTGCTTTAAAATATATATCCTGTTTCACTTCTTCACATTGCTAATATGATGATGTCATAATAACTTGTGTCCCACCAAGCAAAACAGACTCCCAGCCAGGCAAGGCACCAGGGTTTGTATCGTCCTCATTTGTGCTGACTCTGATGGACAACAGTGCATAAGAAGCTAAGTCTGACCCATGGACCAGCTAGCTCAGTAAACTGACTCTCAGGGGTTTCAGGCAGACCTCTTCTCCAGCCCTGTCCACAGATGCTGGGGAGGGTGGACAACATTTGGCTTGATAGATCACCAGATGTATGGCCAGCTCAATAGGTTTGTTATAGTTACTCTAATTCATATTGTGACAATCTGAGGTTAGGAGTAATACATCTGAGCTCTTAGGAGAAAGCTCCCAATGGTCAGATTGAGAGTAACAGCTTCTAGCTATACTGATCAAGAACAACCAAGAGATGGTTTACAATTTCTTCCTACAACTCTCATAGAGGCTGAGGAATGCTGGGAGTTGTAGGCCTTTTTTAACTAGAACTGCACCCCAACTGTAAAATAAGGCTGAATGCTACAAAACGTTTTAAGATGTGCTTAGTACTTGTCACGTATTGCAGTTCCTTTATGGTTACTGGCTCCACACAGACAAGCAACTCATCAAAAGCAGTATTCAAGCTATTGTGATTAATAACTTCAATCCCAATTTGGAATAGTTTTGATTCCAATTATGCTGATTCCAGTTTTCTCATTTGTGCTGATGCAGGCAAAAACAAAGCACTCCCACACAAGAGGGAAACAGAAGCAACCTCAAAGTAATCTTATAGTTTGCAGATGCTCAAAAACCCTTGGAGGGGTGTGTGTGGAATCCAAACTCCTACGGCACAGAATAGGGAAAAGCGGAAGGTACATCTTGAGATGGTTTGGATTGCAACTTCCTGCCAGCATGCACAATGGTCAGGAACGCTTGGAGTTAAAAGTTCAGTGGCTTGGAAAAGAGGAGGAGGAAAAAGAGGAGGAGACCCACAGAACTGAAGGGGGGCGAGTTTTCACATTCTCTGGATAGGTCATGTCTGAATTCCTCTTGAAAAACTATTTTTAAAAATCTTCAGGAAAAGAATTGAGAACTGTTCATAAACATCGAGAGAGTAAGATTTTAACTTAGCTGGAACTGGGAGCATATTTATTGGCCCTATAAATAGAGGGCAAAGAGAACCCAGATGAAGGAACAATCCCCCAAACTAACCTCTGTGCACAGACTGCGGGACTGACTTTTGGAAGGAAACACAAGAAAACAGGCCAGATCGAATGAAGTGGCTGGTGCGCTGAACAGAAGCACTTCACACTGCAACACGTCGTTGCAGGTCCTACTTGTATTCTTTTGAAGGAAGCTGAACTTTCGGAGAAGGGCCTCTCTCCTTCCCTCCATCTCCTCCCGGGTCGTATTTGCCTTTGGCTGCGGAGAAAGATCACTGGTGGGGTAGCTAAACGCAAAGGATGTGCAACGCCTGCGAAAGGCGCGGCGACTTGAAATTCTGTAAGCAGCCGCGTGAACACTCGCAGCGTGTAACGCACGAACGGGCCGAGTCAGAGAGCAGAAAGCCTATTTCTCTTGAATGGCCTGCAGGGGGCCATTTCCAGAGGCTCGGGTCCCTCCTCTCGAAGGGGAGAGGAATGGAGATTGTAATCCACCCGCCCTTTTTGTTTCCAGAGAGCGCAGGTTGCATGTGCAGGGAAAGAGGGCTTGCAGATCGCCTTCGTACTCTCTCGGAAACAAATCGCGTCCCCTCCTTTCGCGCGGCAGACGCAAACGGTCGTTTTATTAAAGTTTAATAATTTTATATGCAAACGATGAATTAGTGCCTTTCCTTGTTGAGAGAAAAGACGGCTGTCTGTGTTTGGCCTTGGCTGAGATGAGCTGCTGCAATTCAAGTTCTGTTCCTTTGCGCTGAGGAGCGGGGGTCAAGTGGAGGTTAATATCTGAGGAAGCATGGGAATACCCGATCCTAATGTTAATAAACTGGATCTCCATCCTAGTGCTGTTCAGATATGTTGGACTACAACTCCCAGCATCCCTCAGCCTACCGTCTGAGGGGCGCCAATTTGGGGCAAGCCTGCATATGCCCCTGCTGTTCGTATTTAATTCAACTCCTGCCCCAAACACACACGTCGCCGCAACGGTTGTGGGAGGCTCCGCAAGGAAGCCAAAGAAATACGTGCGGTTTGTGGTCTGCCTCGTCGGTGCTGCAGCGGTTCACGTCAGACGCACCAGCTCGGGAGGCGGGCACGTGTTGAGTTACCGGCCCGCTCTTGCCTCCGCCCGTATTTAGGTCGTAACTTCACAAGCGGTGGCTTTTCCCATTTCGGCGGATAAGCCAAGCCAAGCCAAGCCAAGCCACGGGGGTGGATGGGCTGGGCATGGCTTTTGTGGGCAGGGTGTTGTGTTTTAAAGCGCGGCGAGCCAAGCTGTGCTAGTGGCCCTTTAAGAGCCCGGAGAGCGGGGCTGGATCTGCGCGCATAACCACAACTGCCTGTGCCGGAGCTGGGATAGGCTGCCTTGGCAGGGATGGACTGGGAGGAGTCATCCCGCATCTGTAAACTCTGGACAGGGAACGAGGGAAGGGGGTAGAACTGGGGGGAGGAAGAGGAAGCAGAAGCAGACGCCGAGGGTGCTCTGTGGCTTAAGCTTGCCTATCTTAGGCGCGCAAGCGCTGCTTTTCTTTGCAATCGCGGCTCTTAAAAGTTCATACGTTTCGGCAGGAGCCTTGGTTGTACCGACCTCCTGGAGAAAGGGGGCTCTTTGGTCTCTTCCCACCCCCTTCCAGACCAAGATTTGCACTGTTTTTAGTTTGCTTCTGGGGTTCGGGTTGCAGAGGACCAAAGCTATGCCCCGGAAGAGTATCTTGGAGGTGAAGGTGCTGGACGTGCAGAAAAGGCGAATTCCCAACAAGCATTATGTGAGTGGGTTGTGTGTGTGACTTGTGTTGGTTGGAAAGAAGAGTTTGGAGTGCTGTGAATGCTCTAAAGCCTTTAGTGATTCCTCGTCCTCCTTTGGGAAGGAAACCCTCTGCCCCAGTTGGAGCGACTTTGCTGGGATCCTGTAGATACCTTTGTGTTTGTGTGTGTTTATGTGTGTGTTGCAACTAAGAAGCAGAAGGACCTCCTCGCTAAGTTATCTTAGTGAGTTCTGTGTGGTCCTCTCTTTTCCATGCTGGATCCACGATGAGTGAATGTTGTAATTGGAATATTCAGCCCATGTATGTACTGTAACTTCCTAGCAAGCCAGGCAGGAAGTTATTACCGCCTGCGCCTTCTTTCTTTCTTTCTTTTTTCCCACCAGTGCGGACTTTACAAAGGCAGGACTGTGCATGTTGACCAGCCCATCAGTTAGTCTAGCCAGTTCTCTGGCTGTGGGATGGGGAGGGTTACATCTCTCTTGCCGTTTGTCTTAAAAGTTTGCTTGAAATCTTAAACTGCTGGGGGGGGGGATCTGGAGAGCAGCTGCTCTCCTGGCACAGAATCTGCTGCATGGATCATGCTCTCCTGGCACAGAATCTGCTGCATGGATCGCTCTCTATTCTCTTACAAAGGAAAGTAGTGGGTTTTCTGCCAGATTCTTGTTCCCAGCTCTGAACTTGATGGCCTTTTTTCATAGTGAAGACAATATGCCTGCTCCACTAGATTTTCGGTGGTTGGGGTCTGTGTGTGAGAGAGAGGGGTGGGGAGAGGTTTGCTTAGTCCTGGGCATATCCAAGGCAAGAAGACCTGTGGTTATTCCCTGCCTTTATGCCCACTCTGCTCTGCAGGCGTTGTAGGATGATGAGAACCAGGCTGCAATGTGTCAAAACTGACAGATTCTATCTGGAGTGTGTCTCCGCTGGGTCTGGTGACTGGCAGGCTGGAGGCTGCCGCATGTCACTTCAGCTAAAGCAGGGTGTGTCTGCTGAAGAGCAAGCGCCCCTTGTTGCAGGATCTGTTCTCCTTTCCACTGGCATCCTGTCTATTTCACAAAACATCCTCAAGTTACACAGTTTAGTACGATGAACCTACATTATGCAAGACAGATTGCATGGGAATGCAGTCGCAAGGAGTTGGACTGGCCACTCTGAAAAAGAATCTCGGGCAATGTTTAATTCATTCATGGGTGGAAAAAGGAGCAATGGGGTGAAACTGTGTGAATAGGAGACTTCAGGGACTGAAGATTGTGTTTGACATATGGGAAGCTGGTTGTTTCTGAGAACAATGTGATAACAAGTTGAGTAGGAGCTAGTTAGGATGCAGAGGAGAACAAGGAGTGAATGGTAGTATAGGATGAAAGGAGAATAGCGAGTACATATTTCTCAACCTCATAGCCTCATATGCTGCACTAGGTAATTATTAACACAAGAAACACAAATGGGTGAGGAGATAGCATTTTCTGTACCCTTTTCTAATTGTGTAGTTGCTTGTATACATTAGGCAAAACTCTTAATGATCAGAACTCATGAGTTTTTTTCCTGTTTGTGATAAGCTGCTCTGAGAACCCAGGTGCTGTGATGATTTTCTGATCATTATATATTTATACACTGCCATTAAAGTATACTGGAGCGGGCAGACTTTAGGATTGATGTGCATAGTTTGTTTTTTACTGGAAGTTTGAGATCCACCAACAAATCAAATTTCAAGTGTGGCACAGTAGAATTTCTATTCACTTAGAATTAAGGAACAAAATGCCACTGAGCACAAGGTTAACCCCAGGATTAGTTTTCTGAGAAGTGCCGATCTCCTACTTCTTTTGCATACAAATCAACTCCTTTTTCTCTCCTTAGCTTTTTTGGTTTCAGAAAACTAGTTTCTGGGTGCAGGGGAGGGGAGATGGGTCAGTTTTCTTGTTGCTGTTAAACCTTGGGAGTCAGCAGTCTGTGGAGCTCCTTTTCGCAAGACTTTGAGCCTGAGATCTACACGTGAGACCTCATAAGAACCCTGTAAAGTAGATAGGCTAGGCTGAGAGAGAGCATGACTGGTCCAAGGTCACTCCATGAGCCTCGGGATTTCAACATGGGCCTCTCCATTCATAATCCAACACTGTCCTTTACACTCCGCACTGGTTCTCTGCAGCTCTGCTCCTACAATCTGCACATTTTTTTACAGCATTGCATGGCATAAAGTGGGACTACTTCTACAGTATTAGTTTTCATACAGGCTTCAGTCCCTTTGTCTTCAAGGTTCGATGCACAAGGGAGGAGGATGTATGAGCCTGAGACTTAGGGAACCACATTTCTGTTTGCCATGGTGAATGTGCCAGCACCCTTTCATGAGTGTGATGATAGGAGCTGCTCTTCAGTTTGGGAAGATGGGGAACAATTCCCACTTGACGGAGTGGCAGAGGGGACCCAAGCCCCAGCTTCAAACTGAAGGAAGGCTGGTGCAACTGCTGGCTTTATTTATTTATTTATTTATTTGATTGATTTTTTTTGTCTACTGTCCACTATCATGTAGTCTTGCAGTGGTCTTAGAAATAAAACAAAGCTTTGCAGTGACTTCTACCAACCCAAGTGTCAGCTCTTCCTCCTAGCTCTGGAAGGGGAAGCTTGGGGCTAGACAGCCCAATAGCAGGTAGTTAACATGCTTGAGGTACCTCAGCTGTTCGACATCATAAGCCCCTGTTCCTACTCCAGCACTGAACATTTGAAGATGATGAAGATGATTGAAGTTGTGAAGAACCAGCTTCTTAATGAAGTGCCATGTTGGATCAGTCCAAAGGTTCAGCTTGTCTAGCATTAGTTTCCAACAGCTGTTAGCCAGATGCCTTGATGAGGCTAAGTGTAATCTTGGATGAGAGAAACAAACTGATAATGAAGAATTGAATGGGCACTATACTTAAGCATTTGCTGCAGGGAAATCAAGACAAACTGTTCAACTCCTCTTGCTCTTACTGATTCTTTACTGGCAAGGTACCCACTAGGCTAGATCCCCCATAGCCCCTCTTGCTTCCAAACATGTCGCCTGCTGCGGGAAACGACGGAGTAAATAAAACAGGGCAGGGAAGCATTTGTAGGGGAACTGATGAGTGGGAATGCATTAAGTGACCTCCTGCTTGCTAATTCATCCTTGCAAATATCTTTCTTCCCATCCGGCATTAGAGTTAGAAGACAAAATGTGTGATGTGGCTGCTTTCCAAGTCTGTGTTCACCTTGTAGCATATTGTTGTGTCCTTACTGTGTATTTTTCAGTTTCCAAAATGGCAAGAACTTTTGCTGGGCGTGTATTCCTGATGAATTGGTTGAGATACAATTACCAATTTCATTGCTTATCTAGGATTGTTTCCACTGAGGAAAAAAATTATTTGAAATGAACCGAAGACTCATCGTTGTTTGCCCCCAGCTGTATTGTATGCATTGTTTCTTCACTGGTGACCTTCCAGTGATTCTCAGTCTTGGCTACCCGACTCCCTCTAACAGCTGTCAGGAAAGAATTAGAATTGTTCGAGGAGGCTTGGAACTGGAATGAATCACAGGCAAGTTCAATGTGTGCAAATTTCTCCATTTGATACATTACCATATGGAGAATGTGGAACCACACTCTAGGCATGAGTAACCTGCAGCCATGTTTTCAACTGCTGGATAAAAATGAGAAGCTGCATCTGGCTCCTTGTGTGTACAGTCTTAGTGTTTTAGGCTTGCTCCACATGGCTATATACCATGAAGTTTCCCGGATGATCTTCAGTTGCTGGTTAGGCTTGTATGTTATGTTAAAGGACCCTGTGAATCAGCCAGCATGGGCTGGTTGTTCATGGAGCAGCCAACAGAAAACATGACAAAGGATTGGGCTTGCCATGGCTTTTTTCTCCCCCATTCCCCTCAGTCTTCCTGCTGGCTCTGGTACATATCACAGGTGCCTGTGGCAGAACCCCATGTTGCCTTAGTCTCTGCATCAGCACCCGTCTGTGATTGGTCCACTGAGATTGCCAGGTACTGAGGAAGACTCTGCCACAAAACACATCAGATTGCCAAATGGACTTTTCAGAGTCGTTACGAATGTAGGCGTTCACACAGCAGTGAAATTCCTTGGGGAAAATAAAGCTGGCAAACAAGGCTGACTCTCTAATACGTGTAGCCCAGCATACGGATATCCTGCTCTTGCCAATATTCTAGGTGATTTCATCCTCCATTTCAGAGCTTGCCTTTATGAAAGTCACTTTATTTTACATTTAAGAACACCGGCTGCCAAAGTTCATTCTCTTCAGCCATTTTGGGCTCCCTTCCTGCTTGTTGCCTCCATTGCTAACCGGCACATCTTAATATTCATGATTTTTAGGGACAATGGGTGGAAGGTGGTGAGAAGTGTTGAGGGAGGATGGTGGTTCAACTTGCAAGATTGTAAGGGGGACGGGATTTTCCTGCTTTGACTGGCAGCTCTCTGGCTGTTCTCTGCAACACATGATCAAATTGGCCTGCTGGGTTTGGATGACACAACATGCCACCACGGCCATTAACAACTCTAGAGCAAGCCATGGATTCCCAGGATGGCTTGTTTGTGTAAAGTCAGTCGCTTTGCTGAAACCATGCTGAGTTCACAAGATACAGCAAACCTACCATAGCTGATCACCTATGGTGCATTGCTGTTTCACATTCACCAGATCACTGTCTGTCTCCATTTAATCTGCCTTGCAAGGCTGTTGTAAAGATAAGTGGGGTAGGAATCATGCATGCAGCCTTGGGCTCCTTGGAGGAAAGGTGAGATATAAAATATATTTTTAAAATATGTCCTTGTGTCTGAAATCCTGTGAATTAGATGAGTGCTGGAGTGAGCGAGAATACCGTCTGTTCCTATCTGAATCAGTATATAAGAACAAGGAAGACTCTCAAAGACAGTTAATTATATATGTGCCAAGCCTATTTTTAAACCAGTAAGTGCAGAGAGTGAATCATCTTGTCCTTGACTCCCTATGGCAGCATTCCCCAACTGGGTGCCCTCC